CACACTCATTTACATTACACTACACTACCCTACCCCACATTGTATTACATTACAATACATTACACTACACTCATTACACCACCACAAATGCAACTGCAACTACACTACACTAATTACACTACACCACAAATACAACCCCACTACACTACAACTACAACTACCGCTGCGCTACACCACACCACATCCAGCAGTTGTGTGTAAGGTGACCGACCAGGTGACCACTGCAACCAATGCAACCACTCCAAAAAACACAACTCCAACCACCTTTCGGTCCATCAGTGGATTCGCTCCGCGATCCGTGACTCACAACAACCAATCTCTCCTATAGGTGTCCTATTTTTGAAACTTCCGCCACCGCACTACTGGTAGATTTTCTACTGACTCTACATTTTAGATGTTAACAGGCTAGGTTTTTACATTGAATTTATGTGTCAAGTATGTTTTGAAGACTTCGGCGCATCTCTTGTGATGTTTGCGTTGCAAGGAATGACTTTGCGCAGAGTGCCAACACTTGCAAAATGATGCAAAATGAATAATTAGTCGACAAACTCTTAATCAACATATATGTTTCCATGTACTGTGTACAGTGCAAGACCAGAATCGGTACCTCTATTTTGAGATCTAGTCCATCACAGAGCACATGCCTTCAACTGGCGCAAAGTGAGAAGTAAAGGATTTGGCGGGAACACATATTTGGAGAAGCAGCGCATGCACTGTCAGTTTTGTTTGGCCAATGCGAGTTCGAAGCCCCGTCCAAAAAAACAAGAGACAAAAACATGGCTGTGGACCAATGAATCTTCCAGCCTGGCTTCTAACTAGCTGCTATGTTTGATATTTTCTTACAAATAATATTATATTATATATTATATATTCTTTTACTCGAAGGCGTGCAGGTTCCAACACCTCGAAAAAGTGGTTGCCAGCCTCGCATGATTTTAGGTACTGCTGCAAGAACCAGGCTTTATCTGGAACGCTGCGACATGGGAGGGACTTCAACTTTGACAGAGCACAACTAGTGGATTTGCTCGAATGTATGAATTCCAAGTTGCATTCACCTTGATTTCTCAGAGACCTCAGCTACAACGCTGAAATTTCAATCTGTGTGGCGTTGAGATCCAGAATCTATTGAATCTAGTGGTAGACAGGTAGACAATGCAGCAATGTCAAATTATCGCATCGCCTTCCTATGTCGACTGGCCCTTGAACGATTGTTGGTGGTTGTTCCATGCTTTCTCACTATTGCCCGGCCCTGAAAACTCTCAGCTGTGCAGAACGTTGGTTGTGATTCTGCACCGAAATACGATTGTGGAGCAGGTGTGGGAGCACTGTGAGCACTGTCTCAAGATGTCTCAAGTATGCCTGGGGTTTCTCGTTGGGTGTGCGGTCTATAGAGTATATAGTATATAGATGTATATAGAATCTATAGAGTCTAGTGGCAGGTGCAAGGTGGTGAGTCGCCAGCCCATGGGATACGAGTTGAGTAAATGGTTTCGGGGCAATGCCATAGCATGATGCCATAGCAACTATCAAGCGAAAAGGCCGAAAAGGCAAGAAAGGTTGCCTGGTGTGTAGCTTGTGGACCCAAGCCACTCAGGCTAGTGCAATTGCTGATACTGGTACCATGGCAAATAGGATACCAGATGACGTCGATCCAAATCAATCAAACTGTAGATAGGCCCCAGCAGAAGTGCTGAGTAAGGTTTGACCCAACTCCTCTTTGCGCTGGCGTCGGCAGTTAAGTTTCATACAAGGGTCGCTAGGATTGACAGTTGTCATCCTGGTTGGAATATCGTTTTCACTTTCACACATGATTAAATGATCCTTGAATGTATTTTCAGCCCCGATCCTATGGCATTTGTATCCTGGATATGTCGACTTTTAACATACCCTCGTTTTCCCTGGGAGATGATGGCTTGGGAGGTCTGTTGAACTACAAGCACGGCCCGGAAATCTCAGTTGCATTTGTGAACTCTGTGACTACATGAGGTACATGTGACTGCAAATTTTTACAGTCACGCAGATAGCAAGAGACGCACAAAAACCTGAATTAGGAGTTAGGACTCCAATCTTTGTGCCCCCTCACACACACAACACATGCAATGTTTCGCTGGCCCATATTTGCGCTTTCTAGTCTTTTCAAAGAATGCCGCATGCGACAGGACAAGAATAGTGAGGTTCGACGAAGAATAGTGTAGGAGAGTGAGCCCAAATTGCGTCGTCGTATAGTCATACTTCAGTTTGGTTTGAGTGTGAAGTTGTAAAACAAGTCGCTGGATGAGCAGCATGATGCAGCAGGCCAAAGATTTCAATCTAATTGACTATATAATTGGATTTGACCTCTCAGGCTGGTCCTTGGCAAAGAAGATGTGGTGCTGCAAAGAGAAGGGCCTTGGCTGTGGGCAAACTTAGATCATGAAAGCATGATTGTGGGAAGCTCATGCTGGTGAGGTGAAGCTAGCATTTGGATGCATTTGGATATTTTGGGATTCTATCAAGTGGATTCAGGTGGTAGAACATGTGCAGGATTTTAAACTTTACCCTGTCTTTTTAGAAACTGGTAATAAAGAGATAGCGCAACCCCTTTCATTGAAATATGTCGAAATACATTGCATGCTTGCAAAGATTTCGATTCAGCATGCCAGCATGCCAACATGATCCAAGATACGAGGTAGAGTGAGGTGAGATCGTGCAATTGTGTTTGGCAAAGGTGGTGACGATGGTAAGCCAGTCCCTTTCGCTCTGCTGACGAGTTTGTTTGGTGGGAGAGAGTGAAGAGTGAGGGGTGAGTGAATGAAGGACCCTGAAAGGTGGGAAGGACCCCGCCCTTTGCACCCTGCGACAAGATTTGACAAGGTCACAAACCCTGGTTTGGTAAAGCTATGTGAAGCTTATTAAGCTTAGGCTTGGCCTCTACCTTGGAAGGCTTTCATCTAGTTCCCCTTGATCCCAAAAAAGCAGGTACTGTAGAGCTTCGGTAGACAGATTGGAGCAACGCAGCCAATGCGTCGCTGCGTGTTCTGCGATGTTTACGAATATTCACGAATATAGAGAATTGTAGAATGTTATAGACTAGAGGGAGACTGAGCCCGATTGCAGAAAGCCTTCCGCAACGCCTTAAGCGCCAAGTGTCTCATGTGAACTTTCCTTGAATTCCAGAGTTCAGAGAGCCAGGACTGCCTTAAAGGCCGGGAGAACTGGAGAGATGGCTGGTCCAATGAAAAAAAGCACTGGTGGGGGTTCCCAGATATGCCCAGATCCTCAGGACTCGCAGTTCTTTAGATCGTTTAGATATATGATACATATATAATTCTATATAATTATATAATATAAATGTGTATATACAGTGTATATATATATATATATTCACATATCATATCATATCATATTATATTATGTATTATATATATATATTATATGCTTCAAATTGCTTCAATGACTTCAATGTTGAATGTTGGCCAGTGTTTTGCGCTTGCGCATCTCCAAGATCTTCAGGTTGCTTGATACTTCGACAAGCGTCACAAGCACACTAAATCATAGTGTCCACAAGAGTAGCAGAGCAGCCAATTCATTAAGGTAACTAGTCACTAAGCAACATTGCAGGTTGCAACATGGATGCTTCTTGATTTCTTCGTTAGCGTTTTTACAACATTTTACAACGGTTTCACTGCGTGTTCAAAGCTAAAGAATCGCTCGGCACTGCTGCAAAGTTATGGCTCGCATTCATCGAGTGTTTTGCTGCTTCATCCCTCTTTGTTATTTCTGTGCTCACACTTTTGCCGGGAATCCCAGATTGCTGTATATTGCTAGTCAGGGCAGTACAGGAGTCCAGTGGTTCGGTTCGTGGCACTGACTCCAGTATGTCGTTTGAGGATATTCAAGGCACTTGCCAGTGTTCAAGTCGAAGAGTCAAATATAGTCAAATATAGTCAAATATTTGAAGATGTTTGAAGTTAGAATCTGCAAGGTATCCCAAGCAGATGAATTTCTGAAGGTAACCGAAAGCAAGTTGTCAGTTAGAAAGCCCACTTTCTGATTCCAGTTGGATGAAGATTTCGAAAGAGAACACCTGATTTCTGGCCTGCACAAAGTCATGGCATGTGATAGGTGTGTGATGGTGTGTGTTGTGATTTCATACAGTATCATTCTTAATTTTAATAATATCAATGTGCAGTGAGCAAGGAATAGGAATGTTTTTGGGTGGTTGGTAGCTCGAACTCTATTTCTAGAACTTTCGAGGATTCTGAAGGTCATTCTTGTCGATCAGCCTTAACAATCTTAACATGCCTTACCAATTCTAATGTCATGATGAATCCAACTCTGTTTGCAATAGACATTGCTACCCAGGTGGGCATTGCAAATAGCTGGACACAACCGGCTCGGATGGCCGCAGGCAATCTCTGAATGCTGAGAGTTTGGCTGAGAGTTTGTAGGAAGCCAGTGAAAATATGTGAAAATACCAAACAGCATCAGGTAAGGGTGCATTGATCATTGACAAAGCAGATTATCTACGAGCAAAATTGATGGTTTCAATTGACATCAATTGACATCGTGTTGTCATGGAGTAGCGGGGAAATAAGAGGAAGATGATGATGATGATGATGAAGAAGAAGAAGAAGAACAGGAAGAGGAAGAAGCTTCATGCATCGAGGTGGACGAATACAGCTCTGATGCTGCATGATCTGATTGTCGCAGCGCAGGAGAAAGCCTTGTAGCCCGGGAGGCTGCAGTTAAGTGGGAGGCTGAATTGAAAGTGTAGTCTCTGGCAGTCTCAGGGTCACAAGACAGCCTTTGGTCATTTTTGGCCAAATGCAAATTATGTCCGCACATTGTGGACACTGAGGTTCACCTACTTTCCTCTCTTCGCGAAAGGTCCTGCCTGCGCATTTGCTCTGGAGCACAGCGGCATTGAATGGCAAGGTGCTTTGGCAACTCAAGCATTGTGTGCAAAGTATTTCTTGGATTTTCTTGGCTTTCTTTGTCTTCGGGGAAAATAGTTTGCACATGTTTGCACCATGTCTGAACACTTGTTTGGTTGTTCGATGTTGTTCGTATTTGTGCCGCTTTTCAATGGCCGCGCGGAGATGTAAGTGCCAAGGCAGTACTCGTACGAATCTATGCCAGTTGAATCCAGTTGATATCAATCGAAGCTTTTAGGTAGAATATTATGAGAGAATCACCATTTCAAGATGATCTATAGGATATTTCTTTTCGCACAGCAGCTGTTTGTTGGATTGAGAACCTGAAAAAACATTATATAAACAAAAAGTACAGTAGTTCAAATCAAAAAGAACACCAGCACACCTCACCAAGTCCATGTCCCTGCCAGCAGCATGTTGTCATCTTCTCCTGCTTGAAAGTCATTCACAAATCCTAGGTATTATACCAGATTTGAATAGATTTGACGGCTTGCTGTTTTCGGCACTGCTCGGCACATGCTAACAAATGCTGAGGTGCATTTCCAGGCGACTGGAAGAGCTTGAAAGCAACAACGCCTTTTCTGCACCTTCCTATCCTGGAAACCGAGGATGCTGGGACGAAGCTCGGAGATGATGATGTATACTGTATATGCATACAATTATAATCAATATACTATAATTCTTGCCGATTCGGCACCATGCAGCACCAGAGAAAGCTAACACACAGGAGTTCTGAAAAAGACCAATGTTCAGATGCCTAACGATGATATGATGGACACATTTTGCTCTGGTGCCTTTAACTTTAGCGTTCCTTTTAGGTGCGTTTCTGGAATTACTCTACCGTATTCTGGCGCCATGAAAAACAAGTCCTTGTGTTTGGAATGAGGATTGGGCATGAGCTGGCAATCCTGAACTACATCGGCAGGAAGCTAAGTCAACTTTTCCACCTGCCAAAGTATGCAGGACATGATAATACAATGATCGCAATCTTTCCCATGTGAGCAAAGGAACATGTTTTGATAGAACAAAGGTAAAGGACAGTTACATTACATGTGGATGTTACTGCAAAGTATGATGAGTATGCCGTAGTTCAAGGTATATGACACACATGAAACATTCACATTCACAGCATCAATCTGCATAGATATGACATGATATGTCAATGATTCACATACATGATATGACATTGTCAATGACATGTGACATCGATGGAATCGGCCGGAGTCACGTGGAGTCCCTGGAGGTCAGAAATCTCAAAAAATGGGGGGCGCCGGTGCAAAGGAATTTGCCATCTCCCAGCAGCTGATGTGCCAGGCGCTGCACTCGCGAAGTATCGATGCTCTGCGCATTGTTCGGTTTCAATACATTAGAAATGGAGAAATGGTTTTAAAAATGGTTAGAGACTGTTAGACACATTTAGAAACTGTTTGTTGCAAACTGTTATATAGTGACGGCTAGTGTGTGAATTGAGGGAACAGTTCTAGGAAGACTATAGAAGACCGACACAGGACAAGGGAGGATAAACAATGTCTTGGTCATCCGGGAATGTTGTGGAGAATTGAAACTCGATTACTCTCGATTCATTCCACCCTTGCGACTGATAGGCAGAAGACATTTACCAGAAGTTGTCGAAGCTGAAAGCTGGTATCATTACAGGTGGGGATGGGATGCTGCTCGTCCTTGAGAAAACTCTTGCTCTCAGCTGATTGTACTGTACAATATGTACAGTAGCTGTCCCTGCAACCAGTAGGTTCAGGATGGTTCAGACCAGCTTGATGAAATCTACAGCGTCAAACACCCGAAGCTGCAAGCATGGTAAATACATCGTATATACCTTGGTACATCTTGGTACCATTCGCCGGCTTTCCTGGCTTTGACATTCTTTGTATATACATGTATATACTTTTTTGAAGGCACTTTCCTCAGACAGTTGCAATTTGATTTGGATATTACTTGTTTTACCATGAGCTGTGGTTAACGAACCTGTCCAATCCTTGCAGAGTGTCACCCCAAGATGCCACAGTGATTTTGTTCTCGGTCCGAAAGTTGATCAACAGATGCCGCAACATGAATCCCCGCGGGAGATCGGTGTTTTGGCATGGCTCTGATAGCAAAGCGGACCTTCAGGTGCAGAAGCAGATGCCTTTTGGAATGATGTGGATGAGCAGTCGCACAATAGGACAGCCTATGCGAAGTTCATGATGAAACAGGTGGCCATTGATACACTGTAGGTCAGGTCGATTTGGAATGATTTGGACATATCAAATCAACTATGAAGTAAGTTCATGATGCATGCTCTTGAAGACTCAACGCCCCAGGTGGATCCAAACATCCCGTGCTGAGTTGGTTCATAGTTCACGCAGATTGACAGAAATTCAGTGGTACTGGTATTGTTTCGACTTGCACCAGTGCATTTTCGTCCAGTTCAGTTCTTACGCACACGAACGGCAGGACAAAATGATACAACATGTACAGACTACAGACATGCACATGGCACATTGACACGTGTGTATGGCCATTGTGCTTCCAGGAATTTCGGAGTGAAAGTCTACTTACAACTCTTGGAGGTACGGCTGCCTTGAAATCTTAGATTTAAAGGGATTGAAACCCGAGGGCACCATTTTTGTCAGTCCAATATGCGCTAGTGAGACTCGCAAACTGGCAGTGCATTGAGGAAATCGCGGCTGATCTCAGATCTCTCGATTTTCATCCTTGCAGAATCTGTTTGGTTCAAGGAACCCATGCGACAAGTCGGGAGCTTCATTGGCGCAAATTCTTCAGCCTTGTGCTGAGGCCTTCTACAAGAGCTGCGGCGTTGAAGGCTCCTTAGCGAAAATTGCTCGAACCATCTCGCTTTCATTCTCTTTCTTGCAGTTTGCACTTGAATCATCTTGAATTCATTTCCCAAGCATTTGCTTCGACTTTTGAACAATGAGCATAAATCTGCTTGAACCATCTTGAACCACTCTCCTCTCTGACATGCACGCAACCTGCCAGCCTCTGATGAGGTGGAAAATTTACCACTTCAGGCGTCACGGTCGGCGAGTGCAAGCTTTTCGCCACATTTCATATTTTGATTCTCATCAAGGCGGAAAAAGCGGGTATGGACATCTTTGGACCTCACCGTTGCAAGTTGGGTCAGGGTTGACATGGGTTGACTGAGGATCCCTCCTAAACTTGCGGGTGCAGGCAGCAATATACTTGTTCATACAGTACCAAGCAGAAGAATTTCCGGACGGCTGAAATGGGTGGACAGATGCAGCTCACACAATGGCGATTACAGCCAAGACGCCTGGGTGATTGACGTCAAACATGTTAGAGAATCAGATCAGATGCACATAGTGTTTGTATGTGTTTGTACTTTTCAGCTTTAAACGTTGACTAGCTGACAAGTCAACGGCTCTGCGGGCCAGGAGGACATTCTCAAGGACTACCCAGGTTTGAGCAGCTTTTACACGCGCTTTGCATCAGAAGCAGCGACGCAATCGATTTTGAAAGATGGTGGTGACTTGCTAGAAAGATTCTGAATTTGATTCTGAAGTGTTTCAAACCAAGATACATTGCAAGATGTTGCAACAGAGTACAGCCACATCAGCCAATAGTTCTGCCAACTGGTGACATGTGACAACGACATTCCGTCATCGAGGCAAGATGCCCGACGCCTTTGAGCAGTACTTCAAATTCTGAAAGCCTTTTCACTCGGCCACGGTAGAACGTTGCAGACGTTGGACACGTTTGCTTTCTCGAGCTTGGAAGCAAACAACACATCCATTCTTCTGTACCGTATTACATTTTGATGTCTAATTTCACACACAGTACTCGATTTGTAAGAAATATGGGTTGACACTCCCATCACTGCTTACTACTCTGTTCTGGACTCAAAGATTACCTGAATCCAGGCCCTGGCAATTTCTAGAGGATTCTGTTCAGGCTGACTAGAGGCAGGTGCAGCCGCAGCCAGAAGAGCGCGGCTGTTGCACTATATAGAGTGCAAGAAACTATGATTGAGAATAGCAATTGCAAAAGGTGTGGGCTTTCACGTGCAATGCGATTCAGGAAAAGGCTCGGTGAGCGGTTGCAGGAACAATCTTTCCAGCAGAGCTAGGATTGGGCAACTGTGATACCTAGAGCCTATAGCCATCTTCCTAGTCCGAGGAGGTGTTCCTGGCTTAAAGAAGCAGATATCTGAAGTCATTTTCTCGCTACAGATAGCAGAAGGAATTGAATTGTGATCATTCGAGCTGCAGTCAACATCACTATCCTCAGCTGCTCGTTTCCATCTCTGTGATCTGTTTTGCTGTGCAAGGTGAATCGTTCCCATAAGGAGTAACCTGTCAACAGGAGGTGATTAACAAGTTCAATTCATTGATGAGCTGAAGAAATCTACAGTGAATGATTTTTATATAAATGTATATTTGAATGTTTGACCACCCTCCAGCGTACATGTGCAGTGCATCTTTCATTAGTTCTGGGATTGAACTATTGAACATGTTTGAACGCCTTCTACATTCTACATGTTCGATCAAGGTAGTTCCTTCATTCCCAGTCCATGAGGACCTGTATATAAAGATTAAAGAGCATATTGATATTATAGCTTGCAAGGTCAGGCTGTTAAGATTGTTAAGGGCTACTGGTTGCATCTGGTTGCATCTGGTAGCATCTGGTGGCTGCAGCTATGTGCGGTTATTCAGTGTAGCTTTGAGAGCTGTGAGCTACTGTGGCATTTCAATGCATTTCAGGTCCTTGAAAGGTCAAAAATGCAAATCCATCAAAACCCAATATGGCGTGGGTAGATGTCAGTAGATGTAGGGCTCGTAGTCAGGCCAACGATCCGTAGGATTCGATTTCCTGCAAACTATTGGTCAAGGTGCTGTCGAAATGTCCACATTGGCTGCGAGCAGCCAAGACCGTACCCCCTCCTGTTTTTCGCACAACCACTACTGCCAGACACACTATTACTGTACTTCATTGCTCTTCATGGTGGCTTAGTGTGTTTGTGAGTCAAATACATGGGGCTGTATCATCGCTAACTCTTGCCCAAGTGCCTGCGATGCTCGTGAGACTGACCATTGCTGAGGCACATAGGCTTCTCAGGTCCGTTTTTTCATAAATACATCTGAAGGTGTTTGAAAATCATGTACATAGAATCATATATATATATATATATAATTATATATATACATAATACATATAAATAATTATAAATACACATAAATACATATAAATAGACTTAAATATTTTTAAATACATATAAGGACACATTAATACATATAATATAAATACACAAAAAACTGTTTAATCCATATATATATTTATTACATTTAAATTACATATATATACATATAAATACCATGAAAGGCCATGAAAGGCCATGAAAGGCCGTGGATGATTTGATGTGCCAGGGAAGAGCCAACATCTGAGTATGACTCTCAGATACCATCGGACACCTTCGGGGTGCTGTGGTGCTTGGTGCTTCTACACTTCTCACAGTGAAACTTCTTGGCATTCTTCTTTGCTATAATTCTTCATCAACACGCTGCCGTATACAGGCGCCATCCCAAGCAGAATGCATACAGAATGCCAGAAAGCTAATTAGATAATCTGATTAGTCTTCCTTGCCACCATTCTGGATGTCTTGTTTCTCTCACAACCTCACAGTCGACGAACCTATCTACTCTGTTTGCTAGCGATGGTTTACCACAGCGTCAAATCTGTGCTTTAAAATCAGCATCACCCACGCAAGCAAAGAGTTCTGTATTGGTATTTTACAGTTCTGTTGAAAATTATTCATTTTATTCCAGACTGGGACGGGTTTGTTCATCGGCTCTCGGCCTCACCCAAGCAGCGATCCACCCATTGCATCATCCTGAGGACTCTGATTGTCACCAATTGTCACCTAGGCCCTTCGACTGCCGCGCGGGTGTGTGGAACTTCCGAGAGGGCTGGTCTAAAACCAAGAAGGAGCGGAATCGGCAAGCTGTACAGGTTGGTTGACAAAGTCTGTCAGAGCCTGTCAGCTCAGCAAGATCTGCACAGGTTTCACGCAGAGCTTTACAAGGGCCTACAGCATTGCCAGGTAGTCCAAGTAACCATACAAATCATCCGACAGGAATCTGGAGTTTGAAACTCCACAGGATCTGGAAATACTTGGAAGCTCATCTCACAAACGACGCTGCCACAGATGGGCATGCCAAAGCTAGACCTGCTTGATTTCCTGGTCATATTTGTACATGTTTGTCATTCATGAGCTGATGCCAATGGTCCGCGTTCTTGTGCAGGACTATTGCTGTCGACACCACGAACTTGGCTGCGAATCAAGACCAGATGTGGTTGCCTGGGTCCGAGACAGAAGCTGGCCAGACAAATATTACTGCGCATTGTTTTGAAGATCTTCATCTTGACGGTAGATAATGGTAGATCTTATTCCGGACAAGCAAGGTTGCAAGAATCTTTGGCATAGAAGCTAAACGCAAGGACTCTTTGTTCGACCCCATGTTGCCAGCTGTGACTGTGTACTTAGATTTATCCATTCACCAACAAGCCAGTGGCAAAATGTGCTGGCTCGGTGCCTCAATCATATCCAGTCTCACATAGTTGAGGAGCAGAGGGAAAGCTTCGACACCTATTTATAATATGTATAGTAGAGATTATATGTAGAGGTCAAAGATATTTAAGTTTATCATAGTTTATCTAATTTATAATGCAAGTGTACTTTGTTTAACTCTCTTGATTTTTCTCCTTTGTATATAATTCCTAGACTTGATAGAACTTGGAATCTGGAACACCTGAGACTTGACATGCTCGGGCATGTCTGTGCATACAATGTACTACCTTGCCATGGCAGCAATACTTTCTGAGGTGTTGAGTCAGAGATCAGTTCTTGTGTGCGAGAGTATGGAGCTTACCGCGGGACTTCTGCGGACTTCTTGTATTGCAATGAGATAAACCGCCTCAGCGGATGTTCTCAAGCTGCACCTTTGTGACGGATTTGAGGCCATGCTTGGACTTGTGCGAGCCAGTGCATTGCGAATTTAGTGATTGGTCAGTTTGGCTGGGAGCCGCAGAAACTCACAGGAGCTGTGTTGCCAAGATTCTCTCACTCAGCTTCAAGATTCTTCAAGTCACTCCAAAGGTGAAAACCAACGTTAGAACGCAAAATTATATATAACAGTATTATACAGCCTATTTAGATCTATTTAGATCTATTTAGATCTATTTAGATCTATTTAGATCTATTTAGATCTATTTAGTACAGTTTTCGTTTGACTTTTTTTGAGAGAGCGGAATGTTACGAATATTAGATGCGTCCCTTCTGAGGTCCAACCTTGGTGGATGCTTTGGCTTGTGTCAACGTGAAAGGCACGTGGATTCAAGGGATGTTGTATAGCCATGTATAGCCGAAGGAAGTTTAGAAGTCAAACTTCCGACAATATGGACAGATGGAAAAACAGAGGTGCGAAGAGTCAGAGAAGAGAAGAGCAGAAGAGAGAAGATCAGAGAAGAGAAAGAGTGAGAAGAAAGAAGATGCAGATGCGCGAAAAGGTAGACAAGTCACGATTCACTGTGTTTTTCCAATGGTTTGTGGCTCCGGTTGTCGAAAAGTAGGCTCGCTAAAGCGGCGCGTGCGGAGCCATCTGGCCAGATGAGAGATGAAAACTTGCACGCCGTTGTGGCGCGAAGTACATGTCCAAGTCAAAATGTAGAAAACACCTCAGTCTCGGAGTGCTTTTGGAAATTGAGATGTCGAAAAAGTGCACGCCGTTGTGGCGCGAAGCACATTTCGAAGTCAAAATGTACAAAACACACCATGCTCGGACTACTTTTGGAAGTTGCGATGTCGAACAAGTGGACGCCGTTGTGGCGCGAAGCACATTTCGAAGTAAAAATGTACAAAGCACACCAGGTTCGGACCACTTTTGAAAGTTAACATGTCGAAAAAGTGCACACCGTTCTGGCGCGAAGCACATTTCCAAGTCAAAAGTCGTTCAGATGTCGTTTTGCGTGGCAGGCGCAAGGGATTGTGCACCTTGTCAAAAGTGAGCATAGTGAGCAAAATGTGAGGGTTTTGTGGCAGTTTCAAAAACGATGGCAGGCGTGGGAAAATATTTACTGTAAGGCATCAATTAAAAAAAATAAGGGATCAAAAAAAAAAAGTTCATTTTTCCTGCGCTGGCGCAGTGTTTTGGCCCTTTTATGCCATTTTCAAATCTTGTGGTCTTTGAATCTCCCGGTCCTTCAGCCCTTCGTCCTCTGGTCCCTTGGTCCCTTGGTCCTCTGGTCCCTTGGTCCTCTGGTCCCTTGGTCCTCCGGTCCCTTGGTCCTCGGGTCCTCTGGTCTTTTGGTCCCTTGGTCCTTCCGTCCTTTGGTGGCTCTGGTGCCTTAAAACACTTTGAAGATAATCCTTAATTCAACCAGCCGCTAAAAAAACCTAAATCAACCTCAATAACCCCTAAACTACCCCCAAGCCAAAGTAAGTCTTAAACGAATCCTAAACCAACCTTCAATCAGCCCTAATCTAACCCAAAATAAACCCTAAACAAATCTTACATCAACACTAAACGAAACCTAAACGAACCTTAAATAAGTTGTAAGCGAAACCAAAATCAACTTTAAACCAGTCGCAAATAACCCCTAAACCAACCCCAAATAAACCCTAAGCCACCCCTAAAAAACAATAATCCAACCGTAAATAAACCCTAAAAAGCACTTATTAAACAAACACGAACCAACCCTAAATAAACCCTAAGCAAACCAAAATAAACCACAAACCAACCCTACATAAATCCTAAACGAACCCTGAACCAATCAGAAATAAATCGCTAATTTAGACACCGGAAACAAGACCTACATAGACTTTAAACCAACCCAAAATAACCCCTAAGCCAACCCTAGAGAAACCCTGAACCAACCCTAAATAACACCTAAACCAACCACGAACCAAGCCCAAATACATCCTGAATCAACCCGAAATAAACTTTGAGCAGCACCTACACAAATCTTAATACCAACCCTAAACAAACCCTAAAACCAACCCTACTTTAAAAAATCCTAAGCCAACCCTAAATAAACAAACAACCAACCCTCAGTAGATATCAAACGAAACCTAAACCACAAAGTCTTGAACGAAATCATAATAAACCCTAAACCAACCCTACATAAACACCAACAAACTTTAAACAACTTTAAAAAATATTTGAACGAAACCTAAATAAACCCTTTACCAACCCTGAATAGACACCTGGTAAACCACAGGCCAACCCTAAACTAACCCTAAACCAACGTAAGTCAACGTAATAGGCATCAAGCAAGCCTAAATCAACACTAAACCAAACATAAACAAACTTTAAACCAACGTAAGTTTCAAAGCAAGCATCGAAAATCAAGCATTCGAACTCCAAAGTGTTGCAGGTGCTGTCAAAACGGCAGCGTCGAGCCCTGCGAATGCTCGATTTCTAGGTCCAATGTCCTGCAAAAACCTTTCGGGCGAGAGGCTCCACTTCCAAAACGATGCGAATACCACAGAAATGCTCGGTTCTGTCTCCAAACTGTTGCAAGGGCCTACTACTACTACTGCTACTACTACTACTACTACCACCACCACCACCACCGCTACAAGTACAATTACATCCACTACCACAGCTACAACTACAATATCTACAATTAAACAATCTACATTACATTACTGTACACTACACTACGCGAATTACACTGCAATACACTATATACAACTACAAATCCAATATAATCCAATGACAACTACAACTACACTACATTACACAACACTACAGTACACTGCACTAATTACATACCCTCAAGATCGAGGTGTCTAGAATCCCCCCCTTGGGGTTCCCGTTGAAGGTTTTAAAATCATCACCTCTATGATTTTAGAACCCTGAAAGGCTATCAAATTACAACCCTGAAAGTTTGGATATATGAGCCTTGTTGTGGTATGAATGGATTCCAACAGACCACAAGAAAAGGTCATTGTTTTGGAGTGCAGAAAAAGGAACCAAGTCGTGATGAGGTCTCTGCACGAAGGTGCAAAACATGTTTGGAATTAGCATCCCTGGTTTTCGTCGATCAAGACTTCCATTTTCAAAACCAGGTGGTTTCAATGTCGCTTGGTTTGAAATTTTTGAAAAAAGGAGGTAAAACGGTGTTGAGCAGCTGCAGCAATGTGCAATGATAAACAAGGTATTGAATTATATCCGGCAACATCCGCAATTGAAAAGACACGAGCCTCATCATTACCTCCAACCTCCCACGCAATGCCAATGTTGTTTGGAACGTACAAATGCCAGGTCAAGTTGCGATGAACAACCTGCAGTGATGCGCCTTCGTGTTTCCACCCAACACCTCCATTCTTTAGATACCAACACTTTGGTTCAACAAGGCCGGTTGGAAAAAAGGACGCGGGTCTATCGTCATCTTTCCCAGGCCAATGCGTGACAAAATGCTTTTGGAGCTTGAAGGCAACCATTCTAGAACCCCAGGTGCTGACTGATGGCCAGCTATAAGCCATCCTATCCGCTTAGCCATCCTTTGACATCCCTTCCACATTCTAGATCTTTCTGCACATTCTTTAGGTACCAACACGTTTGGTTCAACCAAACCGTTTGGAAAGAAGGACGCGGGTCTATCTAGAACCACCATCCCCAGGTCAATGCGTGTCAAAGTGTTTTTTGGAGTTTGAAGGCAACTATTCTAGACCCACAGGTGCTGACTGATGGCCAGCTGTAACCCAAACTTAGCCATTTTGTCACACCGCTTCTGCATTTTACATCCGTCTGCAACACATTTGATAGAGAATTTTCGGAGAACAATTAAGGGGGAGAGACTGATGCCCCAGGAAGTTTTGAGACTGGTCATGGGCAAGGCAATCTTTCCTTCAATGCGATAGTCTTGCCAGACTGGAATGCGGTAAGATATGTTTTACAAGGAAGAGGGTGATTTCAAAAGATGACTGGACGACGCAGTCTTTGTGGCGGGAAAGGGGGTCAAAAGGTTGCAATCGATTTTTGCATCCATCCCGACCTTGCTTTTAAAAAAGGTGCTGCTTATATTTTCCGGAAAGGGTGGGCCTGGCGCAGCCTTAAAAAAATCCATCAAAAACAGAAAAATCCAAAACATTATGATGACCGGAACCGTGCAATGCGTACGGGAGGACAAAAACTGTGTGCAAATGAAATGGAAAATGTTGCTTTAAATAATGAGAAGGAGATTCCCCCAAAAATCGTGTCAACTTTTCCATGATTGTATAGCTTGCAGGAACATGATTTTAGAACCCTACCATCCGTAGACTTCGGGGTTCTAACTTGCTCTCCGCTGAGGGATGTTAAAACCTTGGGTTTTTTAAAGGAACACCATTCTAGAACCCAGATTTGGGGTTCTAATTTGTCGGACAAGCGGGTTTGTTTGATCTTGAGGGTATCTGATGACATTACATTACGCTACAACTACAACTGCAACTGCAACTGCAACTACACCTGCTACTACATTGCTCTACACTACACTACACCAATTACATTACACTACACTACAAGTACAACTTCATTACTTTACACTACACTACACCACACTAGACTACACTACACTATACCACCCTACAGCACACAACACGTCAGTACACTGCACTACACTACACTAATTACACCACACCACAACTACAACTGCAACTACACTACAGTAATTACATTGCATTACAACTTTTACAACTACAACTACAACCGCACTACACCACACTACATCCAGCAGTTGTGGTGAGGTGACCATTGCAACCATTTCAAAAAACACAGCTCCCAACCACTTTCGGTCCATCAGTGGATTCGCTCTGCCATCCGTGATTCACAGCAACCAACCTCTCCTATAGGTTTCCTATCTTTGAAACTTCCGCCACCGCCTTGTGCAGTACTACTGATAACATGTATACGTTGTCTAGGGAACTTTGACTCAGGTGTTTGGTGTCAGACATGTCAAAATGTAGGTCTGACTTGATTTTGAGTTCCCTGCCCCCCTATGAAACGTTTAGAGAACTGGTTCAGAGCAAAGGCTTTTGCTAATCTAATCCTTTTGTTTGGTTTCTTACAACACGGAAAATCAGCCAGGCTCTGGATTTTAGAGCACCCGGAATCCTCGGAATGTTCCGCGTTGGCCACTCTTAACCACTATGGAATACTACATTTACTATGAAATCTATGGAGCATTGATGAGACCTGTGACTGCCTGCAGCGGTATGAACTTCATTGTCACAGCTGAAAACAGGAGGATCATCCAGCCCAACAATGACTGCGGCAGGCCTGCCAGGGACTCCCCTACTCTGCTGGTTGAAGCATGCAACATGCAGCACATGCCTCGATTTTGCAGCAACTTATCATCAGAAATTGTGATAGAAACACTACTTGTACCGTGCAAATGACAGGTGTTTTGCCAGGAACATGATGGAAACAGATGAAAGCAAATGGAAGCAGAAGGAAACATGTTTTGGTTTCTGACAAGTTTCAATGCTCTGGATATGTTTTGATGGTTTCCAAGCCAAACAAATCCACCATACCTATATACTACAAGCAGCGGAACGGTGTCCCTTTGCATTGTCTCCTCAGCTCATTGCAGGCCGTGCCATGGACCTAAAGTGGTGACAAAAGCCGGTGGTTCCAGCTGCATGCCAGACTCAGAGTGCCTTTTCTGAAGAAAAATGAACATGGATGGACATGGATTCCAGGATTCTAGGCAACCTTTTAAAGGGTTGTTCCAAACGAGTATAGGTGAATCACAGCCACAAAGGCTTACAGTAAATTGGTCATTGTTTTGTGCATTTACCATCATTTACCTACTTTCCCCCCCTTGCATCTGGGTGTTGGGAGTAGCGGTGTTTTGCTACAAGACCCTATCACAGAGGTGAATGAGGTGAATGTGCGCATTTTGACTTCCAGAAGATGCAACCTGAAATGTTCTAAATGACTTCTAACTGAACAAGCGGCGTATCCTACTGAACGCTGGAGGATCTGGTTGCCTGTGTTTCAAAACTGCTGTACCTCCTGCCTCTTCACACATGTGACATCTTGCAAACAAGGTGCGAACTTGAAGGGGATGTCAACTGCCACTGGGATGCCATGACCTCATTGGCTGCATCGTGCTTGACCTGACAAGACACTGTCGAGTCAAGTCTGTGTGAATTCCTCAACAAGGGTTGGTTTGGTCATTTCTATGGACAGTATGGTTTTGATAGTTTTGTAGCATTTTCTTGCGATGCCGTTGGTTTTGTTGCTTCTCATGATGCTTTTGAAATCTTTTGAATCGCACACCAGTGTTTCCGATATTTCCGCTTCGGTATTTTTGTTTGGTATCTTACCAGACCTTGTTGTTCAACTCACCTTGCAACGATTTCTGAGATCAAATATACACATGGCTAGATACTGTGCACATGCAAGTATTCCCAACACCAGTTCAGATCCTGGTAAAGTGAATCCAATATCAAATCAACATATGTTTTCTTTTGACAAGCAGGGAAACGGGACTACCGAAAAAATGCAAAACAAATGCAAAGATGCTTCTTCAGACTCGGCCCGCAATGTTCACTTCTATCTTTATCTAGTTGAGATGTGCGTGCGCCGTGCTGAGTGAGGACTGGTCTGAGTGGAGCAATACCTGCTTCGATGTGGTGGTGGATCAGCCTTGAACTTAGGCTGTGGGCATTCTTCATTCAACTATCTCAGATAACGTGATGGCGACAGCGAGCTTTTTGTAGTCCAAGAATATGAGTTTAATGAAATAGCACATGCAGTTTTACATGGGATGCATTGTGATGATACGATACGACTGCTTGACCGCCCTTGCTGCCTTGGCCGGGCCGGACTTGACAGATTGTCAGAATGACACCGCATATTTTTGGAAAACTTTGTCGCAGAAACCACCTTGGTGCAGATCATTTGTTGGCATCTACTCCGTTTGGCTTCTCGAAACATCTCGTAGCGTGGTAAAGCCCATAGTCAAGGAGGAAGATAAAAGTCTGTACGCTGTCTGGTGATGCACGTCGAGCAATGGCGGCGAGTTGCTGTGGTTGACATAGGTTTGGGGCAGGGAAAGTATGGCAACGTCATGGAAAGTTAATGAAAGTTATCCAAGAGATTTAAAGAGTGTCAGCATGTGTCAACTTGATACCACCGACACGCCAAAGACGAACTGATTGCAGTCAGCTCTCCAATTTGCAGTCACGGACGTCTGTGGCAAACCTCACCTTATTTGCAATCATGTGAATGTCCACAGACTTCACCACGTTGTCACTGTCTTTGCAATTATTGATGTGGGAACTGTATGGCTCGATTGCAATTTGACCAAAGATCCAATCCATTCATTTGGGCCTGGCTTCTTCATACATTTGATATCTTTTCAATTCATCTAAAGGATCATGTATAAGCATTCATATTTAACGACATTTATTATATGAATTCATTTACAGCATTCATTTGATATCTTTTTGTAAACAGGGTCGCTTTGCACTACAGCTGGTGTCGACTGTGCGGAGGCTTCAGTTCAGCACGTCTCGGTTTTGCTGGAGAGGATCCTCGCGTCCTTGATGCAGGGCTGCCAGGTCTCTTAAGAGCCTCGTCATAAACACAGTGGCATCACAAAATATCGCAATGGCTTTTGGCATGTTGGGGCATGCTGTGGCATGTTGTGACGAACAGCCTTGAGGGCACTGAATATACTGAATGAAATTGGCCAGGCCAGGGTGTTTATTTGCGACAAAAGGGATGTCGCTGGATGCGATAACTTTGGCGCCACTAGGCAGTTCAGGGATTGTTTACTGCAGATACTGGCTCTGACAGCCACTAATACAATATGATATAATATTGATATAATCATGTTGCATTTTGTGTAGGGTAGAGCCCCAGAGGCAGGGAGACTTTTTTATGACTTTGCTCCACATGTCTTCCGATTCAACATGACCTATATAATGCGTTCGAATGTCGCCGCAATGGACCCCGCAAGCTTTTTCTTGTCATTTCTTTGTGCAACTTGTTCTAATTATGGGAAATGTCCATAAATTTCTTTGAATTTCCGACTGCTGGACACATAAAGGATTATAAAGATTTTATAAAGTATATAGTGAATGGTCTTTCCTGATCTTTGCGACTTCGGACGACTCCGTGAATGACACGCTGAGAAAGAGTCATCATTTCTTTCTTTGAGCCCCGCATGATCGGCTTCAACGTTCAAATTCGAAAAGACGGAAAACCAGATTGAAGATGGAAGACTATGGAAGCCTGTCTTCAGTCCAGTTCGGAAACGTTGAGGCCCTCTCCTGCTGTGTGGCTGGAGCGGTTGGTCGGTTGGTGAGATATCATACCTACTTTCAACCGCTACTCATTGGCCTACCGCAACGCTAGTGTGGGTGGATTCAATTGATTCAATATATAATTGTCCACATTTCTTCCAAACTTACGACGGGCCAGTTCAACTTCGCAAAGCTGGAGGTATCCCGAACAGCCATGCATGGACGAGAGAAGCCGTAAACATTGCAGTTGCGCACGTGAATTCCAATTCTAATCGTGCTTCGGTGTTTGTCTGAGTTGCCTTTTTGGCCCGCTGAGAAAGCATTTGGGCTGGGGTCAAATGAATCATATTGTCAGATATTGACTGATATTGTCAGTCATTTGCATTGGTGTGACACTGGAAGCCCTGTACTGTACCAGGTTTAGTATTGATCAATTATATTATATGATGGTGAGTTATGTTCGTCATGAAATCTGAATGCCTTTGTTTACATGTAAGTGAGGACCAGACACAACAACGGGCATCTAGGGTGATTCAGATTTATGCACTCCTGTTCAGTGTGGCAGTGGCAAGCGGGTGCTAGGTATGTCAGTGTGAATCTCAGCATTGTGATGCATGATACTTCCTTTCTGCTACAATTACTGTACAACGGGTTGTTTGTATTGTATACGTCGTATTACTATTAACGTCGGTAACAGCAACATCCGGTTCAGACTACCCACAGACCTGCTCAGGATATCAGAATGGAAGCGTGGGATTTGACAGCTCGGACGTAAAGGCGTTTGCGTCAGATTTAGCGCAGAACAGAACATGCAGGAACTTAGCAGGAACATTGCTTTTGAACCTGGACCACGCAACTGTTGATACACCTAAGTTGCACTGGAGGTGACCGTCCCAACAAGCCACGGACCACATATCATTGACACACTACGACGATAATTTTGATAATGGCAATCAGTTTCAGCCATTTTCTACCTGCTCGCTTCTTTCCAATGAACACATTTGGCTCATGACTTGATAGGACACGCAACCAGTGCTGCAAGGGAGATTTTAGGATATTTTAGAGATGTTTTGATTTTGATCATTCTAAAATTATTTGTTGATCCTTCAAACTAGGATTAATTATATTGGCTTGCCCGATGCGAGAGTTGTCTCCAGCTTGCGCCTGGCAAGCGCAAGGCATCATCAGGTCATGTCATCCTCATAGATCCTCATAGAATTCCTGTCCCACGATATGTCAAAGTAATTCTATATATATATATATATGTCAAAGCAACTGGCTCTGAAGTCTGGATTCGCTCCGAAGTGCACCAGAACAAACGATTCATTCCCTGTTGCAGGCTGTCTTTCAGGAGTTCTCCCTGCACGATGGATGCAGGCCCTTTGGGGACTTTCATCGCCATTCATACAACCAAATCAACCAACAACGGGTGGAGACAATGCTCTTTATGCTCAAAGAATAGCATAATTTTGCTGAATTTTGCAGTTGGCAGTGGCTTTACTTTGCACAGGACTGAGGCAGCAACAAGACTGGCCTGTCTGGGAATATTTTGAAATTTTGTAAGAACAAGTAACAAGTTACAGTAGGTCAGTGGTTCTGCAAGGACTGGCATTTATATAATATCTAGAGCCAAGCATCTTCTTTGCCAAGTCCTGCTACATACCTTGCAAGCTCAAACCGTGCCTGACGAAAGCAAGAGCTGTTTGAACGACTGCACTGACAGCACTTCAAAGTTCCCTCTTCAAGTCTAATCCGGCCAGTACTTGTCCTCCATGAATCTCAATGACATGTCGGACAGTTCGGACATATCGATTTGTTACTTTACTTTATTTATAATTAATTAATTAATTAATATATGTTTTTCCTCCCTTGTTCATCCTTTCCCCTTCTTCTTCCTCCCTCATCGCATCTCAGCGCATGGCTGTGAGCACCCTTTGCTGCGATTTTCCAAGCTTAGGCGTCCTTTGCTACTCTCGGAGCCACCAGCGGAGACTCGAGCTCTTCGGCGCCTGCTGGCAGAGCTCAGTTTCGAGGCAGCTGAAGCGCCTGAGGCCAGGAACGAGAGACGAAGATTGCACAGTGATTGCTTATTGCACAAGTGTTGTTGCACTGTTTGCTCCAGACCTTGAATTATCTTCAAGCGGACATCTCCTATACTTCTGTTTACATCTGTTTTGACTCTTATTCAATCACATGATTCCTTTTATTGGCATTATAGTTATTATATTGTTATTATATTGTTATTGTTATTATTAGAATATAATTATATACATATATCTTAGAGACATCATGTTATATTATTAAATAATATGTTGGGAGTGATACTCTAGAACGTGATATATGCAATCATACCTTTATGAAGCATCCAGGTATCATGATTAATTAATGTTAGTGTGTGTGTGTGTGCCGACTCTTTTCCCAGTGCAACATCAGCGGTTTGAACCTAGCAGGCTGCTGTTCCTTTTCATTATGCAAGACAACGTTGAGAAAGAAAGAGCTCCACATAAGGGGAAGGCAAGCAGAAATCAAGAGAAGCAACAGAATGGAACATGTAGTTTCTTGATTGAATTCGTGACTCCTTTCGGTTCCCAGGCAACTCTGCTCAATAGCGCGCTGCTGGCAGCCATAGCATGTGGAAAGAGTGATGCCACCGTGATCGATATTGGCGCAGGTGAAAGAAACGGATACGACGATTGTGTGGTTGAGATGCCGACCAATCTTTCATAAGCGTTCCAGTTCCACCTCGTGAACACGTGATCACGTCCTTGAAATCATCTTTTTGCATCATGAGCACCACGACCACGACCACCACCTGGACCACCACCACGACGACTACCACCACGACCACCACGACCACCACGACCACTACCACCAACACCAACACCACCACCACCACCAGCAGCACCAGCACCAGCACCAGCACCATCACCAGCATCACCATCACCATCGCCATCATCATCTATTTGTAATTGTACCATTGCCACCACAGACATGGTTGCGGATAGCATCACGAAGCAGAAATAGATGCCAATTTGCGCTCACGCTTTGTCTTACTTGTGACTGCAAATAAAATCGTTCCAATACATTCCAATTAACCATATGACCCACCATGATGCATCTCGTCAGTGGCACATGTTTGCAGAAGACCAATGCTGACCAAAGCCACCCCCTCACACTGCGAAGTGATGATTATATTATATAGTTGATTCCGATCTTAGGAACAATAACCTAAGAATTGACCAAATCTCGAATCTCCAGGTCTTTTTTTCACGACTATTGCTTGCCAAGACCTATGGGCAACGAGTATTCCTGAAGGAGTGCCCCAAATTCTTCATTCTTACTACTTGTAGCTACTTGTCTAGGGAGAGTATCACTGCAACCATGCGCTGCCACATTTGCCAGGTCTCGCGTCTGTTGTACCACTCTTGCAAGGATGCATCCAGCAGGATTGCGTGAAAGAGTATCTGGGCATGTCCAGTGTTGCCAAGGCAAGGCTTTCTGAGTCTGTGAGGGTTGTGGCTACAGGCATTGTGTCTTTCCAGGTTCTTTTTGATGAAAGACGTTGCATTCAATGAAAAAGCTGCAACTATATATTAACATATATATGTCGCAGCCAGTTTCACTCGTTTAAATGTGTAGTGTACATCGCATGAACATTTGGACACTTTCAGATTCAGTGAGAGCGGCCACCACTGATGACTCTTTGGCACCGCTGAACTGTCAACAGACTGAGGCAATGTTTCGCTGGCCATGCATTAGACATCAATGTGTTAGATGCCTTGAAAGCACAGGACTCCGTCCCGAGCACTTGTAAAACTTGAGACACCCTTTGGAGATTGGCGACTTAAATCCACTGAATGCGTCAGATGTTGTTTGCAAGGTGTGCTCTAGGTGATCGAATGTTGAGAAATGTTGAAAATACAAATGATGCCCAAAGCAATATCAGGTTGAGTCTTCCAGGTCATGAAACTTGATAAAACTTGCGGATCTTGCGGCCACTTGTTATATCGCTGCATCAACCGGAGCTTGCAGGGTGTGACTCTCCCGGACAAGACGTCACCTGATAGGAGCCTTGTTTGATCAAATACATTCGCATAATAAGAACCAATGTTGGAAATATGTGGAGATCTTGCATTAGAAATATTTGCAGAAGATAGAATTACACCCGTGGAGTTTTGTTTCGTATTTATATTCATGCAATTGGCTGTGCAATAGCAATAGTGTGTTGCTCAATATAACGTTTGTCGGTGCTTGTTGGTGTGTTTATTGTGGAAGTCAGTACTCAGTAGCCTGAATGCTTTGTAGAGACAGACTTCGACATAGTACGACAGACTACGACAGACTCACGCCTCACGTGTGCTTTTTGCATTATTGCCTGTGCGAAACGAGGCAAGCCTTTGCTGGCTATGGATGCTATGGTTCTTTGCGTTTAGCACAAGACATCAAAGAATCTGCAACCTGACTGCAGATATAAAACAAACCTTCGTGACATAGTACTCTCAGAGTTACTGTCATGCTAAGTGAGCAAACATCCTCTTTAGGCAATAT